TTCTAGCAAAAATACCAGTCCATAATCCATAACGGTTCATCCACTGAAAACCCCCTGTTGTCCTCTCGTATTAAAATCCACCAACATATTTGTTTAGAAATGTTCTGGACTGTTTTCACTTGTAAACGGTGCTTGATCTGTGCATATTTCTCTCCTGATTCATACACCAGTATTTCATTGGATACAATACTCGTATTTTAGTCAGAAGCAATGGTTTGAATTTAAGAACGTCTTATTGATGGAACTCATGTTGACTTCTTGTGGATTATTGCGATGTTTTTATCAGCCATTTGGACTCTCATTCTGACGGCACCCATTCACTGCAGAGTGATGCAATACTGATTTTTTCCAAATCTGTTCTTATGAAGAAACAAACTCTTGCATGGCTCGAGGGTTAGCAAGATTTCAGCAACCATTCATTTTTGGTGAACTATTCCTTGAAATCAATAAAACACAAGAGGCCGCGTGTCACAGTGTGCACTTTTGATCTTCTCTGAAATATCCTGTGCAGATGTGGAAGATATCATGAAGTGTTCATGAACTCATCAGTTTCTCTGTCTTGTTTCAGCATCCCCTCTGTGTAAGACGATGATGACATGGGCATTCCAGCGGACTGCTGAGAACCTTCACATGCCGGTGGCGCTCATGACTCACCGTTTCCAGAGACATTCCACCGTGCCGGTGACCACAGCGGTTACTCTCTACTGCACTACTACACAGGTTTCATTGTCCTTATCTGGATCTTCCATCCGCAGCACATGGGGATTCCCCAAAAAACAGATGACATGCTACATGCTCTGGTCAAGATGAACCAAACCGGCGAGCAGGACAATGGAAAAGTCTAACAGACAGGCGTAATTATACCTCCTACATCATCCATCAATACAATTTCCAGATGTGCTCTAGTCTATGCACAATGTATGTGGAGTTCCAGTGGATTTAGACAAAGATAGATAGATAGATAGATAGATAGATAGATAGATATAGAACTTTTAAATTGTAGCTACTTTGAAAAAGCCTAAATAAGTAGGCTACTTTAACACAGATAGATAGATAGATAGATAGATAGATAGATAGGAAATTGCTCAACCAGTAAAGCACACAATATCTACACAATACAAGAATATTGCGCTATATTCAGCGCTATATTTCCTCTGTTATGGAATTATGCTCGTCCACTTTACTTAATTTTCAACTTCACAACAGTATAAGTAACAGTAATGAACAGAAGCAGCAGGGCGAATGTATGTCAACTCAATTGTGTGCCAGTATTGATGTATGAATGTTTGCACAGCGTGTTTGATATACAGTGGCTCTACTGTACCGGCTACCGGAGACAATGACCGTCCCTCCACAACACTAAACAACGGACCCGAGCTCTACCCATTGTGTAAAAGATTAAAAATACATAAAACTGGACGTCATTATTGATAGGCTACAGACAGCTGGAGCTTTGATGTGAGTCAGTGCATCATTCACTCTCGCTGCTGCTGATTGATGCGCTCCTTCAAACAGCTCATTGATTATTAATGACATTCTTCCACACTAAATCACCATGTCACAGGCTACAAAAGGGAATAAAGGGGCATCTCAAATCGATTAAAAGCCTTTAGGATGAAACCACCACGAAGTCCTACCTGGTTGGAACATACTTTGGAAATAGAAGATGACCAGAATAAAAGATCCTAAACAAGTGGCCAGCACCATCCGGCAGATCCTACTCATCCTCATGAGGTCCAGTAATGTCTGTTTCATGGCTGGGCACGGAGAGACGGAGGGACGGAGCCCCATACAGCGGGTCTGTGTTTGATGCTGATGCCGCCTGCGTCCGTGTCTCAAAGATCTCAGCGCAGCTCCCTGGAGTGCACTACCTTCCTCCGCACACTAGGCTACAGCGGCGAAACTCCGCCCCCTCCCGCCGCGCGGCGAATGAGCGCTGCCCACACTGTAAAAATGCTTTCATCTCTATCTTATAACAGCATCTTTGTTTCCCTTTGACTTGTCCCAATACTTTTTCTGGCATTTCTGTTCGCTTTTTACGAGTTTTCAAAGTGGAATAATATTACTACATCTGCAGTAATAATTTACTACATCTGCAATTGAATTCAAAGAGGTCAAAAAGTCAATTTTAAGTTGCTTTAAAAAATAAAGCCAGCGTTGCAATTAAACTGAAGCTTTTTAGTTAGTGGTTTGACATTTTTGCAGTACATACCACTTATATCCATGACCCAGTATCTCAAACCAAAGTCTGCCACTGAATTGGATGGTTATTGCATATGTGAATATTGCATATGTGAAAAAGTGTAAAATTTCCCATAGTAATCACAGTTAATTATTGTAGCTATTGTTCTTATTGTAAATCTGATTCAAACAAAATGGAAAGGTTTATTTATTTATTTATGTGTTTATTTATTTGTTTGTTCATTCATACATTTATTTATTTAATAAAATTGCATTTTAGCTGAAACACTATTATTATTCATTTATACATTGTACATTGTGTATAATATAAACTACACACACCACACATATATATATATATATATATATATATATATGCATATCTACATGTACACTATTAATATAAAAGTGTAAAATTTCCCATAGTAATCACAGTTAATTATTGTAGCTATTGTTCTTATTGTAAATCTGATTCAAACAAAATGGAAAGGTTTATTTATTTATTTATGTGTTTATTTATTTGTTTGTTCATTCATACATTTATTTATTTAATAAAATTGCATTTTAGCTGAAACACTATTATTATTCATTTATACATTGTACATTGTGTATAATATAAACTACACACACCACACATATATATATATATATATATATATATATATGCATATCTACATGTACACTAATAATTAATATGAATATATACATTGTACTTTGTATGTTATAGAAACTACATGCACATATACAGTGGGGAAAATATTTATTTGATCCCCAGCTGATTTTGTAAGTTTGCCCACTTACAAAGAAATGAAGGGTCTGTAATTTTTATGGTAGGTTTATTTTAATGGATAGAGACAGAATATCAACCAAAAAATGACCAGAGTATATTGTACTCTGTATATAATAGAAACTAGGCTACATGCATTTATAAACAAAAATAAAATAACATTGTAATAAGATAAGAAGTAGCTTTCAATTATTATTTATTTAATAAAATTGCATTTTAGCTGAACGTATTATTATTATTATTACAACTAATAATTAATAAAAATAATAATTAATAAAATACAATTGTAATAAAATGACAAAAAAATAAATAAACAGGAAATTACATTCATTTGAGAAGAATTGATTCCAAATTGAAAATGAAGTCTTGATTCATATGGATATAAACTGCCACAACATTTCCTCCTCAATAAGCAGTCGCTAATATAATTATGCATTCACGGTCCACAGCATTCAGTGCTGACTGAAGCAGAAACGTTTAAAATTCATGAGTGATTTTGCATTCTGGACCTGCTGATTAGAGGCACTTTCTGAGGTGTCCATTCCCAAGAGGAAGCTCTCAGGGAATTAGGCCAGAATTACAAGGTCATGGTGTTGATGTCTACTGAGACCCTGTGAGGGGAAGAGAGGAGAGTTTTTACTGTACAGCGAGGAATTACAGCATAAAAAGTATGCTGGAAAACTCCTGGAAAATGCAGTTATTTGTGGCTAGCCTGTGACTGTAAGTGTAGCTTTTTTGCCAGTTTAGACCAAATATACAGCCAGGACAGGGGTGAAATACTGTTATATTTTTATTTGACTGTAAGCAATTAGTTAAAGCCATTACTGTACACACTAATGAGGAAAAACAGTGCCTTAAGTACTAAAATGCATTAAACATAATTCTCTTTTCCCTCCACTCAGGTCAGGCATGAGCATGTCAGGGTTTTGTAATTATATTTTAATATTTCAGAGCTGGCTGCGATTAAACTGCTACTCTTAAGAAAGGTTTGCTTCTTTGTACAAGCATCTGGTATCACAAGCAGTCAGAAGTTAGTAAAAATACAAATTATATTATTTTTTCCACTTTAATTTGTTCTTTAGGTGCAAACTACACACATTTATTTTACTTCAAAAAACTTTCAGAACTAATTAAAGAGACAAAACCATATCATCCACCCACATTCAAAGAAGAGCATTTAGTTACTTTTTCACTTCAATGTGCAACATATGTTTGCCATCACTTTGAACATATGGCACTTTTAAAGTAATGAAGCATCACCATAGGTGCATTATTCACTCATGAAGAAAAAAGTAAAAATATGAAGAACATAATACAGAAAAAAAGGAAAGTTTTCACAGTTGGCTATGATAAACAAAGACTGCATTTGAATGTGAAATTCACCTCATTCAGTTCTTTTGCTGAGCTCCAGCACCAGTAATATTTACCTGAGACATGAAAAAAGGAAGGAAAGGGAAACAAGAGTGGAATTAGAGGGAAGTGTGGATAGGATTTCCACCTATTTCCATAAAATTAATTTATATGATAATTACCCATGTAGGCCTATAGGCCTACATGCGTAATGAGTATGGATCATGTCATCAAAACCAAATGAAGGGAACATGATGAAAAAACAACGTTTTAATGATTTTAATGATAAAAACGATTTGCACTAGATAAAGGGAACATAGAAATGTCGTTAAATGCCACCTCTTCTAATATTCACAATCTCATTTCCAGCGCGACCCCTGGTGACCAACATACACGCGTGCACAAACTGTCTCGCGCAGCTCCATTTCCGGCGTCCAATCAAGTTGCAGCGCGAGAGCGAGTCAGGTTTGTATTTGTGGCTCCGGTCAAATGATCCGCTACAGCGGTCATTCTCGTGTTTAACGGATAGAAAAGGCCGATACCGGCAGGTTTTTACAGGTTTTACCAGGCCGAAGCAGCCGTTAAATACAGGAAGTCTTAAAATAATGAAAGTTTGAGGATGGGTAAGGCATTATTTGAGTGGAGAAATGGATGCTACATCCACGCGAGGCCCCGAAGACACATTTAATAAACAGCAACTCTAATTATAAAAGAAGACCGTTAATTTCTGGTTAAAGTTTACAAATTGTTCATAAATGAGATATTTCCCTATGTTAAATGTGTGTAATTTGTTAGCTTGAGCTGGGACGATGCTAACCTGCTAGCCGACTATCAAAACAAAGCCTGCCAGAAATACATACAAATAATTATAGGACCAGTTATTATCGATATTAATAACATATCGATATTAATAACATATCCAAAGCCACGTACATATTTATTGCGTATTTTATTATTTGCATTTTTTAAACGTATCTTTTCTAGCTGTTTAATCTAGTTTGTCTAATAAACCTGGCATTGTTTATTACGATTTTTGTTGGTTCTTTGACGAATTACTTTTTGTTCCTCTTTTGTAAGTGTACTTTTTTGTTTCTCTTTGGATAAAAGCGTCTGCTAAATTCGTAAATGTTTTATAAATATTGTACATATGGTTATAATTTAATATGGTTATTCAGTATTATTATTAATCATGCTTTTTATGCTCTGGAGAGTTTTCTAGTTGTCGTGGGTCATGAGTGAATATTTTTGCTCATTATAAAGCTGTAATTGGAATGAATGTTTTAACCCCCATTGTCCAGTTTGTGTTTTTTAGATGGACGGAGACAGCAGCACCACAGATACCACTCAGTTAGGAATAACTGGAGAGTATATGACAGGAGGGACATATGTCTTGCAGACCCAGGATGGTATGGACATGATGTCACCGTAAACCATTATTCTGTGATAGAGATAATGAACAAAGTTGTTATTATGAGTCAAGTAGTAGCAGTTTGTCCATTGTCATGTTTTTTGTTTTTTTTTGGCAGATGATGGGGATGAAAGTTTCAATGACCATGAGGATGGCAACGGCAGTAAAGACCATTTCCGAGAGCAGGACATCTACCTTCCCATCGCAAATGTTGCCCGCATCATGAAGAATGCCATCCCACAGACTGGAAAGGTAATATTAGAGAATTTTAAAATTGTTTCCAGGTATGGAGAACTCGTAATAACAAAAAAAAAAAAAACCTCTTGTTTTCAATATTTTATTAGCTTGAATTTGTCCTTTTGGAGTGCATCTATATAAATCCTAATCTTATGTAGAAGTAACCTTGATCACTTCTGTCATCTCTCTTTTTAAAAACAGATAGCAAAGGATGCAAAAGAGTGTGTGCAGGAGTGTGTGAGCGAGTTCATAAGCTTTATCACATCTGAGGCCAGCGAGCGATGCCATCAAGAGAAACGCAAGACCATAAACGGAGAGGACATCTTGTTTGCTATGTCCACTCTGGGTTTTGACATGTACGTGGAGCCGCTTAAACTCTACCTGCAGAAGTTCAGAGAGGTATTATTCACTCACTCACATATGCAAAATTAATAATAAATTTCAGATCATGGTCTAAAAACATCAATATAAAGGATCTTTGAGAGAGACATATCGCCTGCACTTTTGAAATAGAAAATTGCAGAATGTGATTTTTAGAAAAGCAATACCTGCATGTCATCATGAATATCATTTTTAGAGCACAAATTGTGGTTAGACGTGAAGTAACATATTCATGTTTCCAAGGCAATGAAGGGTGAGAAAGGCATCACTCCGGTTACAGTCAGCGAAGGCCTTGGAGAAGAGCTTACAGATGACAGTTTCAGTAAGTGCAATCTCTTTCATTCATATAGCTTATATATTCTTCTGCCTTGTTCAGAAAATGTAATGCAATCGAAACATACAGCACTATTATCTTGCTTATTTATAGCTTTTAGTGTCTTAAAGGGTCTACATAATGAATTAATGTTGTGTTACTTTGAACTTACAGCTGGTCAGTTGCCTGCAGGACTGATCACTGCTGATGGCCAGCAACAGAATGTGATGGTATATACCACCTCATACCAGCAGGTTAGTATGTAAACCAATCCATGTTAAACTACAGATATATGACTGAAGATTCCCGATGACACTGAACCATTTACTGTTGTAAGATTTTAGTTATGCTCACTATTTAAACCATCTCTTTTTTTACGATCCTTTAGATCCCTGGCGTTCAGCAGATACAATTCTCATGACCGAAGACCGGCCCGACTTATATCTAGTAGCCTGTCCAGTGTCCAGACAGTCTTATCTCTTGCCTTGCAAAGTTTTCAGGTCAGTGCTGGAAGACCAAGAGATGCCTGGTTACCAGAGCAGGAACAAAAGTGCCTGTTGCCAGGAGGCTGATTTGATCTTAAGTGATGTCTTGTAATTCATTCAGTATTATATTTAGGCCAGTTTGTTTTGAATGGTCTGCTTGGTACAGGCCGAACCAAATTATGACTTTTTTTTGGGGGGGGTGTTCCTTGTATTTAATCATTTTTAAAGTTTGGGATGGGGCAGTGGGAAGATAGAAAGGCCATATTGACAATTTACATTCCCAGAATCAAGGGAATTTTCATTTGATTTGACGTTTGGTCTTAATTAATCTATTGAACTGACATTGTTATGCTGATTCTTTGAATAAAAAAAGTGATCTTTCTTTGTTTGAATGTTGTTTAAAGTATGTCTTAAAAATCTTCCATGAATATTACAAAATAAGCTGATGAAAATAGTCAAGATCAAAATTAATTTGAACAAATGTATGCCTTGTCATAACAGCGTTTCCAACTAAACTTTATTGCAATACATTTTTTAGTAAATTTTTGTCCACACAAGAAGACCATTATGGGAGTGTACATGAAAAAATTTTCTATTTGTGACTGATATGTTGTGGAACAAATGTGTAAAAAAAAAAAAAAAAGTAGTTAGTAGTTTTGCAATCAAGAAAGGGTTGTAGAAATGTTTTTAAGAGCTCGGTTAAAAATAGCACTGTCTGTGTAATTAATACTCTTTGTAGTTCTCTAGGTTAGTGACATGCTAATGGAACATTAATACATATATAATCGCTAATGTAATGTAACTGCATAAGCAATTCTACAAATGGAATATTAAAAATCCCCCAGTAGACCGATTATACTAATTTGTGCAGGGTAAATGTGTATTATTGTTTAATTAATGCACTGAATATTTAACCCAAATTGCAGATTTGACGCTTTTATGGCAAAATGTAGGATGTCCTAGTAGTCGTTTTTGTAATGTAACAAAACTAAATAATTTCCTGAATTGTTCTATAACTTACTCTATATAAAACAGCATTGTAATTTTGTACAGTAATAAGGCACAGGAAAACGTTTTCTCCAGTTAACTCTTTTTAAGAGTAAGAATTGGACAGCTTTTGGGAAACAAAATAACGCAATCAAAAATGAGCTCAGTCGAATGAAAAAAACTGAAATGAAGGGAGCTCTGGTGGAGCGGTTTATGTTCCAACTACTGTCAATTATGCAGTTCCTAAAAATACAGGAGCCTATTTTAAGAAACATACATGCAGTTTAAGATAGAGGGAAGTAGCTCGTTTTCCACTAATGCGTGAATAAATTTTGCTCACAAAAACCATAGTAGGGATTTGGAGGTATAAAAAAAGTGTTGCCTGTGGCTACAACAATCCATAATATAAATACATTTATGAACTCAGTATTAAAAGTGTTAACGAAATATGTACATTTTACAGTGATGACCTTTTTGACTGATACTGATAAACCTAAAGCTTACAGTATAAACGATACCATGACATTAAAAGGCAATCAAAATATAGAAAAACAGTGAACTGAGATCAGCCAATAGAAGAGTTCATTTAAAATGGCAAAAGGCGTTGTGGAATAATAAAGAGAGTGAAATGCAGTCCTGAAGTATTAGAGCTTTGGCAGTCAGTGCAGCAGCTTGCGACCCGTCAGGGGTGAGAGTTCATCTGCAGGTGGTGTCAGGCTCTGCTGCTGGAGGACTGGAGTCTGCCTGTGTCACTGACGATTTCAGTTTACTCGCATCTGTAGGACGACATATAAAGCAGTTAGGACCAGACTGTATATTGCATTGATACTATATTGCAGTGTACATTAATGTTCAGAAGTTACAATATTTTATAAGAAATTAAGATTTTTTATTTGACATGAAATTGATCAAAAGTGACAGTAAAGGCCTTTATAATGTTACAAAATATTTATTTTTTTAAAGATATTGTACTTTTGAACTTTCTACTCAACAAATGAACCTGAAAAAATGTATTGCGGTTATGTGCCGATTAATAAATATTAATCAGCACAACTGTTTTCAACATTAATAATAAGAAATGATTCTTGAGCACTAAATCAGCATATTAGAATGATTTCTGAATGATCATGTGACAAGGCTGGAGTGATGATGCTGAAAATTCAGCTTTGCCATCACATTTTAAAATATATTATTTTAAATTCTAATAATATTTCACAATATTGTTTTTACTGTATTTTTGGTCAAATACTTGACCAATAAACATCAGCAGCATCAACAATGCCATAATAAAGGTAAGTTGGCTCTTTAATATTTCTTTAATTATTGAAATTATGATTGGTTTGTGTAGAGTTTAAATGCCATAATTGCTGTTTTTCTACAAGCAACATACTACTCTGAGAAAATATATATATATATGTGTGTGTTTTATGGCTGTGACAAAGGTTTTAGGCAATACATCAATCAACCCAAGGAAAAATGTGACCCTGGACCACAAAATTTTTTGAAATTGAGATTTATACATCATCTGAATGCTGATAATTTATGCATTATCTGAATAAATAAGCTTTCAATTGATGTATGGTTTGTTAGGATCGGACAATATTTGGCTGAGATAAAACTATTTGAAAATCTGGAATCTGAGGATACAAAAAAATAAAACTAGAGAAAATCAACTTTAAAGTTGTCAAAATTAAGTCCTTAGCAATGCATATTACTAATCAAAAATTAGGTTTTGATATATTTACGGTAGGAAATTTACAAAATATCTTCATGGAACATGATCTTTACTTAATATCCGAATGATTTTTGGCATAAAAGAAAAATCGATAATTTTGACCCATACAATGTACTGTTGGCTATTGCTACAAATATACCCGTGCTACTCATGACTGGTTTTGTGCTCCAGGGTCACAAATAAGGATTTGATGAGGATACACATTAATGAGTCAAAGCTTTAGAAGTTTTTGCACACCTTGCAGCCAGCGGATCTGAGTGGCCGGACCGTAGCCCTGCTCGTTCTTGGCAGCGATACGGAAGACGACAGCAGGCCGTGCCGAGCAGTCGATGTGCGCGTTGCTCAGCTGGCTTTCGCTGACTGTGCATGAAGTCTTGGTACCACAGTAGATTCGGATGAAGGCCAGCTCGCCAGGTCTCTCCACGCTGTTCCCTCGACTCTTCCTCACAGCCAAGTACATGGAATACTCAGTGATCTTCCCCGACGGAGAGGTGGGAGGCTCCCAGGTGATATGCACTGAATCTTTATCCTGAAATCATAACATAGCATCTAAACGTCTTTGAACGCAAAATGTTTGTCATCACTGAGAAGACTGATTGTACCTTGGTGATTTTTACAGCAGATGGCGCTCCAGGAAATCCAAGCTGGCAGGTTTTAAACTCGCTGACGGGACTGAAGTTGCCCAGGCCACGGCTGTTCAGTCCGGCCACCCGGAATTTATATGTGACTCCTGAGGCCAATTCCTGCTTCTCACGATCCTTAAAACAATGAGGACCCGGCAACTCCCACTGTCGGACAGAAAGTGGTGACGTAAAACGCACTGTCACAACTGGAAACCATTACAATTAGGTGTGGTAATATCAAACCAATAACACAGACAAACCTCACTGTCAGATGAGTTTCGACCAAACAGGGTCGATGCCATGTCACCTTCCTCAGAAGGCAGGAAGTAGTGTGTAACCTCACAATACAGTGTTTTAAACACACCCACATCAAACCACACAGAGTCCTCAGACTGTAAGGGCAAAGGGAGAAAATGCGTCAAGTGTTTTTAGGAGCTTTATACCTATATAAATACAGAAACACACTGTAACACCCTACCTGTTGGGATGGTATCGGAGAAATGTCTCGTTCTGTGAATGATCATATAAATAGTAAGAAAGGAAAACTACAGTAACAATTGATCTATTTTCAACAGGAAGTGTGTGCTCTTACCTTTCTGGCACTGAGAAGTACTATTCAGCTTACCAGCCTTATTCATGTTTGATGGCATCACGGAAACACCTTCTTGATCTTTGATTATGCACATTAAAAATACATCATCAGGTATATATGTGACTGAACCACTTTGTAACACAGAAAGACCAAAAAGTAAGAATGCAAGAGTGGAAATAAACATGCGCATTAAACTACGTATCAGAAGCAGTTCACTTTTCTACCATTGTCACCTTTAGGCCGGACGTCTGTCCCTTCCTCACCTAGTTCTTTTGGCCTCAAAATGCTTTCCTGAAATGAGAAAGGCCCTGTGAGATTAATAAAAAATATAATATATAAAAAGTCATATATGAAATACACTAAAATGCAGAAATCTGACCTGTGAAGAAGATTCTTTTTCTCCTCTTGGCTGGGAGTCTAGACAGAAAATGTATATAAATTATACAAATTTACATATTAATGACAGTTATTTAAATTATAAATAATATACACAGGGTTCTTACACCTTTTCCAATATTAAATTTGAGCACAAAACAACTTGTAATACCTATTTGTACAGATTCCTTTCTGTCTCCAGTGTCTGATGGTGTGGACTGTGGTTCAGTAGAAGCGGACTGAGATGTGATTGGCTGCAGTTGAAGCAAATAACATTCAGCTGCAGGTAAGGGCCGCCAGGCGACATGCAGCATATTAATTGTAGACTTCACAAGGAACACTGCACCAGGAGTGGAAGGCTTCTCTACACACAACAAATCAGAACTTGATGATTTAAATGTTCAGATGTAAACTTTGTTGATTTAATATCACTCACCTGTTTCAAGGTACCACAGATCTTTGCAGCACACCTGGTAGTTATTGTACTTTTTGTATCCATCTCGCCCACTCCAGACATACAGACGAGTGCCGACGGTTACTGCGCTGTGTCCAGCTCGTGCTTTCGGCCAGTGTGCAATACCCTCTTCCTGTTCGTCCAACTGTACATCTGAAGCCGATCCCTGCTGCTGTTCTTCTGGTGTCAAGTCATGCCATGTCATTGTGTCTACAGTAAGCAAACCATACCAAGAGAAAACGCGTAATGATAATAAAGCAATTTTTGAGATTATCTAGCTGCAAGAACAATGTAATATTCATAATCATACCAAGGTTTAGCATGGAAAGAGAGTTGGTGCAGACCCACTTGACTCCATCGGCAGCGAGTGCGTCCTCTGCCTCTCCAATGGGAACCCAGCCTCCAAACACATATAACCTACAACAAGAAGATAAAGAAGAAAAATTGAGTAAAATAATATAAAAGACATTGGAATAACTGTTCTGACAGTAGAACATCTTGACTTTATTGAAAAGTGAAATTGAGAGAGGAAATGGACAATGGAGCTGTTCAGTCATGACGTCAATATCTAGGCAAACCCAAGAGGCTAATTCACCCCTAATGGATTTCTAATGGGTTTTCAGAATAGCGGTTTTGTCAACATTATATGAGGAGTCTCTGTCATTTCTCAAATGGGAATTTTGAAACCATTGTGACATGACATTAAACTGCTTTTTGCTGAATGAAATCCAATACTTGTTTCTTACGAATTTTGCGATGCTGATTTCAGAAATAGTGCCTGTTTAGTTATAGAATGTCACACTTTTTCACAAAACATGATTGGCTTTTTGTAGCATTTTTGGTTTCGACAACAATTTTGTATTATCCACAGAAGAACTGCCATAAAGACATGATTCCTATTTTCCTCAGGTTACAATTATTTGTTCAATTTTCACACATATAAATGATTTATGTACATCTTTAGGTGATTTACTAAATCCAAACAGCAGAAAACAGAAAATGATGTTAATTTTTATTATACATAAACTGTTATGTAAAGTTACTTAACATTAAATGGAGTATTTGAACATATTTCTTTACTCCTATGCATATTGTAAGTTAAATTATACATTTTGAATATTTTTTGTTATTTAAACATGACATTTGACTGCATTAAAGCTGATACATATAATATGAAAAATCATTCTTGCTGTGTAAAAAAATACATGATGGAAGGTTTTTATTGATATTTTTGAACTCAGCATCATCAAATTAGGTAATAGAATTAGATAATAGTAGGTCTTTTTGCAAATCTGCAGTATTTTTTATTTTTTTTTAAGATACTGGGCTTTGTTATCTTTCCTGTTTTAGGACCACAAACTGAACCGCTTCCTACAGTAAATCAAAAAAGAAACAGGCTATGGCTTTACTTGTTTCCAATCACATTGGAGGTGTGCAGACTCCTGGGTAGCGGCAGTTGACCTCTGATTAGAGGTAATGTCCAAGTCATAGTCTCTGAAATGAATGAAAGCATAAGCTTGAACTAAATGAACTAATATAACAAGAGATAGAGGTCATACAAGCTCTGTTATTTTGATGAACATGAACAAGGCCTTACCAATGTCTAGTTGCCACAAATCATTCAGTCTGTGCCCACACATGCCCCCAAATATGTATAGCTTTGGGCCACTCCCGCCCTTGCCACAGTACACCACAGAACTATGGGATTCCCTGGCTGACGGACCTCCACCTTTGGTTTCAGGGATGTTCCAGCCTTTAACCCCAGACTGGACCTGCAGCTCCAGCTCATAGAAGTCATCTAAATACCTGCATAGAGACACAAATAAACATCATCCATGTGAGTATGTATGTGTTTTTGCGTTTGACAACCATAAACGCATGTAAATATGCACACCTTGGTATATTGCCATTTGGGTCTTCACTGTCATTGGCCATTCCACCAAAAAGATAACACTTATTAGCGTGAAGAGTGAAGCTGTGGCCAATCCGTGGGCATGGAAGTGATGCGTTCCTCGGTGGGCGGGGCTTCAGTTTCTTCCACAACCATCGACTGGCCTAAAAGAACAGATATGAAATCATAGCCCTGGCCTCCTAAAGCTGTGTACTACCATCATGAACTATTAATGCTTTTATTTAGGTATCAACTGAGCTACATTAAGTGCTCACCTGCAGTTCATAGAGGCTGTTGGTATACTGTCCGAATTCAACCATCCCTCCAAACACCAGGATCCGTGTGCCTTCACAAACAAAGCCATGAGCGGCACAACCAGGTGGGATATCGCCTCTCACTGCTGGCAGGAACCACTGCCTAGTCACTGAAATATATGGTTTAGAACATTCATTAATGAAAGATTGTGTACATCAGCATTAAATATGAATTTCTAACTCTTTTAATGTACAAAAACCAGTCAGCTTTAATGAATATGAAAACATAATAACAGAGTTTAGCAGCATTTCTAACTATTTTCATGTATATTATTAACCAATGATTTGTTTACAGTAATCCATCAGTGCATTTATTGCTGGGTACTACATGCAATCTGAAGTCACGTCTCTATATGAGTTTTTATAAATGATACATCCATTATACTATGTAGTATTAATGCAGTTGGTGTCTATTTAGTGCCCTACCTGAGTTATAAACATGCAGATTGGTCGCTATTCCCTCATTTCCACCTCCAAACACAACCACCAGCTCTCGTATAGACACGGCCCGGTGCCCGTGCCTCGCCCTCGGAACAGGTCCAGCGTAAGACCGCACTCTTTTCCATTTGGGACCCTTATTAATCATAATAGGTTATTTCACATAGGTTTGATTTTGCACAATTACTTTCGAGTAAAGGCGGACTGCATACAAACAGTTCTTAGCGCTTCCCCGTGCGTGAAAACGTCTCTGTGATTGGCTCAACGCCTGTCACGTGACTTAAAGGCGACGCACTTTCGACAAATCAGCCGTTTGTAGTTCTTAGGCCCCCCTCCCCTTTTTATTTTTTTTTATTTTTTATTTTTTTTAGCAAATACAGAAAATAAGCCCCGGGGACAGTAAAAGCAATTCATTACATTAAAATAATAGGATACATGCATATCACGAGGAAAAAACCTTAATGTGTAAATGTGTGCTGTAGACAAAGAAATTAAAGTTAAAAATAAATGCTATACTTTTAAAATAATCTACTAAAACAGATGCATATTATAAAGTTCTTATTATAATTATAAATTATATTAAATATTAAATATTGTTTTTAAAATATAGTAGTGCATTCATGGAGACAAAACAAAAAATATAAAAATAAATGATTACATTTTAAATATTTAAATACAGTATAGTTTATACATTACAGCATGAATGTTCTCTTTTAGTATAGCAAGTGAGTGCTGTTGACATTAAACAAATTAATGAAATAAAATAGTATTTGAATTCTAATAATTATGAATGTGCAACTGGTAGGGTAGATTTTGTACAGTGTGAAAATTTCTATTATGGTAGCTATCAGTGGCGATGTCCTTAATATTTATTTTCAACCAACAACCTAAAGATAAAATTTCAGAGGCGTCAAAACGGCAGAAGATTCATCTACTGTCCATGAACTGTGTTTAAGTTGTAATATCTTATTTGAAACCTAGAGGTCAGCAAAAGTCTATGAGGATTTGGGGTTTTCAGAGGCATAGCAAATGAGGAATGATTTTACAGACATACCATAAACGCTAGACGTTATGGTTCATGATTGGTTTAGCTAGATTCACTCAAAACTATGTCTTCTTCAATGAAGTTGAAGAAGTCAAACATGTTGAATGTATGTGCAAGTTATTAGTATTAAAGTTCCCCTTCCCAAATGATTTTATCTGTGACATGCAGATGTGCACATGCAAGAACACGTTTGAGGCCTTTTAACAAAAGTGTTTTAAATTGAAATGACATTTGTTTGGTGGTGCAAGACAATTGTTCCATGATGTATTAGTAAATCCATACTTAAAGTTATATGAGAAATATAGGGCATTATACCTTCAGAGTTAAGTTACATTTGGAGTAAAATATGGTTTGACTGTCGTAATTGAAAAACCACTTCATCTATAAATTACATTGAAAAAGAACAATGGGTTTAATGTGGTAAGTGGCCAGCTCTTCTCTGAGGTGATGACAGCTTACGTTTCCTTCACTGATTTTAGAGAGAAAACATTTATTGAAAGATGGATAGAGAACAAGCTGTCAGCTAGTCCTTACATAACAATATCTTTTGAATGACAATAAAGAAACAAAGAGAAAAAGACAAAGTTAAATAAACTGCTATTCAGTAATAATAATGTGTGTCACAGTAAAACAGGCATTCAGCAGATGAGGAATGGAGGATACACACAGACATATTCCAGGATAAACACGGAGAGTGCGGAGAGATTGGAGTCTGTGGAAAATAAACAAGGAGATGGCGATGCTTCATTTCAAAGTAGGAGAAAGAATGATGTCACTTGCAGGGGGTTGCCAGAGCGAGAAAGGAATGAAGCGAGGGATGCCGGAAGAGAAGAATTGCTGTAGAAGAGTTTAAACATCATTTCACTGTTTCTCAGTATTCGCTACATGGAATTCCAATTTAAAAAAAAAAAGAATGATTTAATGGCCAGATTGTGTCTAAAATGTTTGTTGTTTAAGACTGGCCCCTTGTAGTGTCACAATATTACTGTGTTGTGGCTGGATTGTAGCATTTCACGAAAAAAGCAGAGAAATAATGAGAGGGAAACAGGTTGAGTGGGTGAGATGTGGAGATGTGAGATGAAGAAGATGCAGGCAGCTGGAGATGAAGCCATAGGAGGGATGTACAGTATGTGAGATGTACAGATATGTGAAGTTGAGCTTGTTCTCGTCATCTTTGAGCTTGGCAGGAGAGCTTCCAGTAGTCGAGCTGCATGATAAAAAATGTTGGATTCTCCCCCATTAACCCTAAAGCTAAACTTCCTTTCTTAAACAATGCGCTTTCCTTCCTGGCAACCTTGCAAAATAATGTAACATATTGTTTAGGTTGGAGCCAAGCTATAGAAAAACAATGCGTTCATGCAAACTGATTGTGTTTAAAGTAAGTAACATTCTTCGATATCCTTGAAACACTCATTTAGTGTTGTCTATGGAACAATGGTTCACCATTGTAAATGAAGTACTGAACACGTTTTTGTTTACTTTTATACATTTTTTGTGGTAATTAACAGCCTGTCAGAGATGCTTAAACCATATTCCTTTAAACCAAGATTCCAATCCTTGATACAGTGGACATTCTAGAATCAAACTGAAGAAAGAAAGTTTCATCATCTACTTCACCTGAACTTATCTAACCTTTCTTTATTCAGGGGCATGTGAGGACAAGGTAACTGCTGCGATCCCAATTACACCAGCAAGCTGACAGACCTGGTAAGACCAGAGAACTGTTTGAAGAGATATTATTAATGAAATACTCCATAAAAAGTCCTCCTTCACTCTATAATTAAAGGTGATGAACATCCAGAAGGGTGATTTCGTTACATTGCATAAATCATTTTTGGTTCCTCAAAGAATCTTTCAGTCAAAGGCTCTGAAAAGAATATTCTAAAGAACATTTTTCCATTATAAAGAACATTCCATGAATGTTAAAGGTTCTTTGTGAAATGATACCCCGGTTCAATTTGTTTGTGTTTTGTATGTGTCTCTGCGCTTGTTTTAGTGGAACCTCCCTCCTGGGTCTCTGTTATATTTTCAATGTCTTTGAAAGTCCACACGGCCCTTGCCTTTATTAGATTTGCTGCCTCAAAAACGAAGAACCTTTCCTGTTTGACTCACTGACAAGGCAGGCCTTACCCGTCCACAACATTTAGTGTCAATTGGGTTTGAATCCTATAATAAAACGCTGATTGCTTGCCAGTGGTGTTCGGGTCTGAGGATGAAACCGGCATTATGTGACGAGGTTTGTTCGAATCCTGGCTTAGCCAGAACGTACCTTTTGATAAGACTGGGATTGGCAGATTGGAGCCACTGGGGTTTTCATTTTAAGCAGATAAGGGAAAGCTGTGGGAGATGAAGGGAGTTTAAATGTAACCTGAACTGAGATTGAAGCAGATGTAAAGGATCACCTGTGTGAACTATAGAAGACTTGTATTCATACATCCACTAAATCACCTTGAGAGCAGTTGGTGAAATAATCAATGCAATAACAATTCCGAAATGTGAAGTTAGTTCTGAGAAAAACTCAGCAATATTTGGTTGCAGATACCACTTGGTTTGAGTATTTTATAGTGAGTTATGCAGTGCATTTAAGGGCGGAAGATTTACTTTGTAATAAGAGTGTGTTCTGGTCCCACGTTATGCAACCAAGATTGCAGACATTGGTCAGCAGTGGAAAATTACTCCCACAGCTCACCGAGCCGGTAAAAAAAAAGCTTCAGTTTATATTCCATCCTTCTTTGATCTCAGTGCCATTATTACTAATATAATACGTCTGAATCTGGAAGAGACCTGTCAATCAAACATATATTGAGCCTGTGTATTATAAGGATGATGAATAATTTCACTGGAGAAAGCAATATTATGGATAGAGAACTCGTAGCCGGAAACAACATTTTGAAGTTAAAAACATCTTAATTTGTTTATTACAAGATTTTTACTTCACAAGATGTTAGTTGATGGACTGGATTTGTGTGGATTATACTTGTGGATTTTTGTGATGTTTTATCAGCTGTTTGGTCTCTCATTCTGGCGGCACCCATTCACTGCAAAGGATCCATTGGTGAGCAAGTGATGCTACATTTGATCAAATCTTTTATTGGTGAAACAAACTCAACATCTTGGATGGCCTGCAGGTGAGTACATTTTCATTTTTAACCAAACTGGACACACAGATTGTTTCTAACTGACGTGTTTTATTTGTTGAGATATTTTTATATATTTACATGTCTTGAGATGTATTCTCTTTTGTTTCTTTCTTTGAAACAACAAAATGCCAGTTTTCATACACATACATTTTTATATTTGCATAAACAGTTTGCCAAACACCAGACAAGCTGTTTCAGTTTTAGTCATTTTGCTCAGTTAAAGTTTGGCACGACCAATACAAGACAGAGCTCAAGTTTTACACCAGTGCTAAAATAACATTTTGTTTAGTCAGTCATAACACAATACACTCTTTTACTCCCACCTAGTCAAAAAGAGCTTCATGATATCGGTGTAAACAAATAAGACACACGTCAGCTCAAGAAATGAAGCTGAAGTTCTCACCAATATTAAAACACAAAACTGAAGTCACAGACTTTAGTCGTAAATAGAAAGTGCAAAGTGACATAGTGTGCTGTAAAATAAATGCATCATTTATAAGAATGAACACATTTTTTTAAAACCAAAAATCATTCAATGTAGATTATGAGACAATCAAAATCTCATTCACCATGAATATTTCGTATTTTTTGAGTAAGCAACCTACATAAGCAGAAAATGAGCAGACTCTCACCACACAACTTATCTTTTAAAACCGTATCATTAGATATAATTTTTTTTATTTTCATGCTTCTTTATTTATCCCCATCTGGCTCCTAGGACTCCACTGGAACGCTCTGGCTTGATTTGCGCTAACAGTCAAGTTGCAAACATTGACTGGATTTACGGGAATAGTCTAGCCCTAAAGACTGACTGGACTTTCGGGAGTTGCATGGGTCTTTCCAAGAGTCGACCCCATCTTTGGTCCGGACAGCAGCCAGCTTGGTCAGGAGGGTGTTCCTCCGGATGCTGCTGTCCGAGTCCACTTTGTGCAATGTGTTTTGGGGTTTGTTCCAGCAGGGGAAACAGGCTAAGAAGTCATAGAGGAGGTGTCCGCTGAAGAGCATGTAGATCCACGGGTTACAGCAGCTGTTGAGACTCGCCAGCAGGGCAGAGAGGGTCACCGCTGCATTTTCAGAATCTGAAAAAGAGAAGGATTGAGTGATGTAGACTTGGGGTTAAAGATTTGGGTTGATAACTGAAAGGTTGCAGGTTAAAACATTGCAAAAAGTTGATACGTTTTTGCTGCATTGAGCAGTAACATCTACTTGAACTACAATCTGTTTTGACTCGCATGATAATCAAAATAGTAGATTGGATTTCTTGTTTCTGAAAATCATTTGCTTTATTTGGTACTCTTGAGTCTTTGCACAGTATGTTTGTGTTCTGATTATACGTTCCCCTGTTTTTCAAGCTTAAATCAATTATAGATAGATCAATATGCCCTGTCAGCCTTATGAAATATTGACAAAGTATTACGTTGTGTAATCAATGATTTTTCATTCCATGGTGCACAAGTATGTCTCAAGATTGGAAGACAAGCTTCCAATAAGGCAATATTAGTTTTATATAATGAAGCATTATGCAACGGCACAGTATATATATATATATACATACTGTATGTATATATATATATATATATATATATATATA